ATAAAAGTGAATTGAATTGAATTGTAACAAGCTACAATATACTATAACAATAAATCCAAGTGAGCTGTTATTGATATCTATGTATGCAAGCAAATAAATGTGACTTACTAGTCAACAGTGCAACATCCACGGTGCTACAAAATGTCAGGTTCTCCAGTCAAAGCCCTCTCTGTCTTCTGCTCTGTGCCTTTCTATGCCAATCTGCTGCCCTTCGCTCTGTTACAGAATAAGGTCAGCCAAAGCCTTATACCAAACAATGAAAAATACTGCTACAGCTTCCTCTGGTGCTGGGTGCAGCAACTAAAGCTGTCACAGTGCTTTGGTATTTTATGACCCAACTACAATAACAACCAACACATTTTCAGCTCATGTGAGATGATACTTTTACCTTCTCAGATGCTAATGCTGCAGGTAATCACTTGAAAAACAAGAACAAAACATAATTTTGTCATCTTAGAATCAGCTCTGTCTATCTACTGACACTGCAGGTCACCTTCCATGGACGCTGCCATGTTTCTACAGCAGCCCAGAATGGGCAAACCAAACACTGGCTCTAGATAGGGCTGTTAGCATTTTTCACAGCCACCATAGTTTCTCCTAAACACTTAAACAAAGAAGGTGAAGTGAGGGAGTTTCATTCTGCAACTACACCGTTATCAGTATGCAACTACACATTCCACTAAATCCTACAGTGTGTTTCCAGAGGACACCAAAAGTGCCTGTAGCCTGCAGGATGTTCATATGGGCATTATTATAGCAGAAATACCTTAAGGTACAGACTACAGATGGTAAAAGAAGAGGTAACCTCAGCTTTCATGTTTAAAAAGTTATACATCACAAATCATCACACATCTTAAGGGGGGAGGAGATTTTTTTTACTTGTATGTCTCTAACGGCCACTCGAGAATGGCTCCAGAAGTGAGTCAGTCTCCATAAACCCACATATTAAAATGCCCAACTTTAGAGCAGAAATATGATATGATAAAGATATATTTACAGCCTGGTACATAAAACAGTTTTAGTCTTTATAGCTAATTTCCCCGTTCATGACAACTGTATGGAAGTTGAATTTTTATACAACTCATCAATTAATTTATATATCAAGGCTTTAAGTTATGCATAATTAAGGCTTTGGCCGCTTCGAGCGACCACCTCTTTGCTCATTTTTACATTAGCCTGGAGCTAGTGGAGTCAACACTCAAAAGCCAACCACACTGAGCTTCACAACGGCTCTTCAGAAACCTACGGGTGACGTCAAGGAGACTATGTCCATTTTTAATTATACAGCACTTTTAAGTGAAACATTTCTGTTGCTGTTTGTGTATTTGCAGCACACTTGTGTATCCGTAGAAATGGTTTCTAAATGGTGGTCGAAAACACAAACAGCCGTATCTAGAACCAGTGTTTGTTTTGTCCGTTCTGGGGTACTGAGGCGACCCGTGGCATCTGTAGATAGAAAGGGCTCATTCTAAAATAACAAAAACATAACATTTCTTATTTTCAGGTGATTATATGCTTGTGAAAACACCTATGAATATATTCCGCTATGCAATATTCCATATTCTGCCAATAGATCTTCTCAAATGTTACACACTGGACCTTTGTGTTGTGTAGGCCATGTTAGAAATTAATATTATCATTATTATTATCATGTGGATACTAGTAACTCAAGGACCAGCTGACACTGCTTTCAGTTCTGTTATCCAAGTGGTTAACTAAAACTGCTGTGACAGTCACTGCCAATGGATGTCAGTCAAGTGTAGCAATTTGGAATGCCTTGTACCATGCCATACAACGGTTATTGAGTTTTTAAATAGTTTCATAAATACAGGGTTCAATATGGTATACATCAAAATATTTGGTTGTGTAGTTAAGAAAAAACATGAAAAACAACAGGCTTAGCTAATATTCTGAACTCTCGTGGCGGATTTAACCTGAATCACAAGTGCGCCATATTGAAACATTCCAAGTGTTGTGGATGTCCAACGTTGTCTAAGTACACTGTATTAACTACACGTTACGTAAATTAGCGTTAAGTTGACACGTGATTAATATCTGTCTCTATTTCTAACAGGTTGCACATCATTTCTGTAACTCGCCCCGTGCCACGGTTTGTGCTAACTAACCTGAAGTTTCCACAAAATACAAAACATACTTCCATACCGGAGAGAAGAAGCAGCAGCAGAAACGCGGCGTTCAAGTGTCGTGTCGATAGCGACAATATGCACATAAGCTGGACCTGGGACAGACACACAGGATAAAAGTCTAGTCCGTCCCGTCGACCAAAAGGCTGTGTGTGTGTGTGTGTGTGCGCAGAATGACGGAGGACTTGGACATCTCCAAACATGGCCAGGACCCACTCAGGATCCGTTTTGCTGGTAGCTAACGTAGATACAGGCGTCGTCACAGCATGATGCAACAGGACTACAAACAGCCCATCCAGATATATATAAGTTATATACAATTTTGTTTAACACGAATATAGTAACTAAATTAAAGGCAGTGGCTGATGAAGCTAGCGCTAACGAAGCTAAATGAGATGGCACAAATGGTCAGTATGTTATAAGCTAGCTAGTTATACTTTGTTAAGCTTATGAAGAATGTTGAATGCACTTAGCTATTGTGTACGCCACCCCTTCGGTAATAATGTATTTTGCTTATTCCACGAATTTCCTGAGTGCTGACTTTAAACAAACATTTTGAGTTTAAAGTCAGAATTAAATAAAGTTAGACAGCACTAACAACACTATGTAATAACTCGACAAAATGCAATACATGTAATGACATCACGTCATTATAAAACAATATAAGGCTCTTTTTTCAGTTTTTATACTGAAATCCATCATTTATGTTTAATGATGTTCAAGTAATAGGTAAAAACACAACACAAACTCGACAAAATATAATACATTTTTACATCATTATGTAATAAAACCTGTATTTTGTAACAATCTGCACCATAAATGTAATAGAAAGAGCCCAATATGCAATACATTTTCCCACATTTTGTATTATTACACACATAATGTGGGAGTTAAACTTTTTATGAACTGCATTTTGAATAAGCTGAAGCTTTCTGATTATTATTACAAATTAGTTATAAATTACTTGAGGCTGGATCGTCAGAGTACAGAGACTACATGTGTTAAACACCTATTACTTAAAAATAATGAAAAATGAATTATTGATTTAAATATAAAAACAAAGAACCTGAACATCAATGAATAAAAGACTGAATAAAAAACACATAATAGAACTTGGAAGGCTGTTTTAAAATGTTTCTGCCCACTGTGTGCAAATGACAGAAAAGCAAAACCACAATTTAAAAATTCCTAATAAACCTTTAATCTTAGATGTTTGTACAATTGACAAATTACATTAAAACATCTGTATCTTTTTAAATGTCTGTAGTACTGTACACCCCCCCCACACCCCCTCTGGCTAGCAGGTTAGGGATACTGATAACTCCAAACATACAACGCAATGGAAATAAAGCTGCATATAATAGTACATATTACAGTTATATCAATGTACAGTGTTTACATAAAATACATCAGAGGAAAAGAATGCATCCACAGGTGGAGCACAAGCCTGGAGAACTGCTGTCACATCAAACCAACATTTACATGCAGGCTTATTACAGTCAGTGTCGGCTAAGACGCTGCTAGTGCACCATACTGCTGGAGACATACAAAAATAGATTGCAGTGATGCATCAACTGGCTTATTTCTGAAAGTATGACTTTATTTTGTTGTTTTACACATCCTGACAATTGTTTGGAAGCAGATGTAAGGTCAGTGTATTGATGAAAAAAGGTTATGACACAAATGTAACAGGTCTAGTGACATTAAAATAGTACACCATGGCTGATTTTAAAAAACAATAATAAATAGAGAGATGCATTTGGTTTAATATATATATATAAAAAAAAAAAAAACGCTACAAAATACCAAATTTGAAGATGTCAAACCCTACCAAAACTACATCTGTGGCAGGCCTTCCTCACCCTTTAAACTGTTTCAAATCCAGGACATTCTCCAGCAATGCAGTGCCAGTCTTAAAAAGCACAAATTTAAGGCACAGTTGGGTTTACTGCTGCGCATTGCAGCAGGTTTTTGAACATTTGAAATGTGCATCATTTGTACAATTTTACACTGCAAATACCGAATCCAACTTTCAAATCACTGCATAAAAAAATAAAATATAATAATGTCTGGCAACTCCTGTATTTTTGAGATTTTCTAAATACACAGGTGCTAAACACAAGCAATCAGGAATCCCTAAATTTAATACAGGGGTTGGAATATTTGGAACCAAGTATTACAAACTGTTCATTTTCCCACAGTACACCAAACAAACAGAGTTAGCATCATTACAAGAAGCTGATATGATCAAAGACCAATAGTGAGAGAGTCAGGTTCCATCATGAAACATTTGTGTCACCAAAGAGAGATGAGCACAGATTGTAAACAGCTCCTGAAACATCCTGAAGTCTGTGTGCCTCTCTGGTTTGTTGGTCATGTACACAGAGAGATGACAACACCCACCACTTGTTCAGAACAGGTTTGGAAATACAATTCATTGAGGGGGACACGCCAACAGCGAAAATTACCCAACTTTAAAGAGGTAAATAATACAAATAATAAGTAATAATAATAATTTGGGAATATACTGGGTTATATCTGGAGAAGATTCAGTTGACTGTAAAGGTACACTCCTGGATTCTGTTATATCACTCAAAAGTTGAGAGTTTGGGATGCTATAACAAAATCCAGGACAAAGGGAAAGAAAAGGCCATACATGGATTACACGGAGCAAACAACACACATCCTGTCGCCATGTTTCATCAGCTGAACTGTTCTGTGTGCATTGCTGCTGTTGCAGCGTCTCAGGGAGTGGCTGCCTCCGGTTACAGATGTACTCTGCTGTGGTAAGTGAGCAGCAAGAAAAATGTGAGCTTATGGTTTGCTTTTAATACAAAGAATGTAAAAAAGCTTGTGCCACCATTCACATGTATTTACAGCATACCCTCTACACGTCTGTTCATGCCTTCCTCGCTTGACTAAATAATAATAATAATAATAATAATAATAATAACAATAATTATAAGAAGAAGAAGTAGAAGAAGAGCAACAACAACACTGAAAATCTTCAGGAAATTAACACCCACACTGTGTTGTATTGAAAGCTTACATAGAAGCATACTCTGATACATGCAGCCATTTCCATACAGTGCCCAAATTAACTCCATCATAGCATCAGTTGGAAGAGAAAGGAAGGAGGTTAGAGTCTCTGCACACACCTTAAATAATCCAGAAGAATTTGCTTCCATGTTAAATCAATGACATTTCTAATACAAAGATTATAGAAAACAAACTGCACCACTGAACAGCTTCTCTTGCAAAGATCCTGTGTTAAAAAAGAAAAAGAAAAAGAAAAAAAAAAGCTCTCCGGTGACAGACTGAAGTCTTCCCTGTTATAAAGCAGTGAAGGAGCAGCAGCAGACTGGTGCTGTCATTCTGGGAGGGCACAGAGGAGAATGCTAAATCTAATGCTAATGCTGATCTCATGAGAAGCCTGAACAGTTGGCTGAGCCTCGCACTTGCATGCGGGGGGTAGTGTTCATGGTGCTTAGGCGGAGGCTGGAGGCTTTGAGGGGTGTGCTGCAGCCCTGGGCCTGTGGGAAGCGCTGGTGGTATCGGTCCAAACGCAGATACTTCACTGTCACCAGCTTACCTGTCAAACCAAAAGCAGAAGCCTGTCACTGACCAATCACTACAATGTTTTTTAATACACAGAGCTAAGAACATAGTTTACAATTTCCCTGAAGGGAAATAATCACCAACAATCTCAACCGGTGAGTCAAAAGCAACGCGCAGGATGCTGACAGTCGCCACACATTTGTTTTGGAACAAAACATGACCTTGTACTGCTTTTTCCCCTCAGTGATGAAAATGGTGATTGATGAAGAGCAGCTGAAGGTTGATTTGTTTCATTGCACTAAATGTCTCTGTAGCATCTCTGCTCTAGTAATACTGTGAAAATGTCTTTTATCCATCATAAACTGTTCCAAAGACCTGCTGATGCTTGTTGTATGCCTTAGCAGGAGTTCAGACTGAATTCAGCACTTTGTTAAAAGTAACAGGAGGAGCTGTGTGCGCAGCCCGCAAAATTAACTTTTTTGTCCACCAGCCACTATAGGGATGATCATTGTTTTTCAGCTGCTAATGAAGTAAATCTACCAGCCAAATGCATATTTTAGCAGCATGTGGCTGGTTCCCTGTGTGGGTTAGAGGTTGAAGAGTCCCATTTGACTGATATATCCAAAAGTATGAAGACTTTACTGCAAAACAGATTAGATTCTGATGTTAGTGTAAAAAAAGCATTAGAATCTCCATATGCTTCAAATGAAGTGTTTGTCAGATAGTCTACATTCATACAGTAAAGACCATCACAAACGTTACCTAACATTCACCAGCATTGGTGTGTGAAAGTGGATGAATGTTAGTAATTTTGGGTTTAGACACTTTGACATGCAGCAGGAGGAGCCAGGGATCGAACCACCAACCTCTCATTGGTGGACGACCCACTCTACCTCCTGAATTAATGCTGCCCTGTAAAAACAGGCTGGGTTTGAACTTCTCTCTTAAGCTTTCTTTTTCTTATTTATGTAACGACTTCTGTTACTTGAAGGACAGACTGTCTGAAAGTGTTAACTTGTTATCCCTATTTGTATGATTTATTGTATTTCACTCTATGACTAACAGGTTAGTTGTTGTTTGGAAGGATATGATCAATGCAGATAGATAAATATCAGGTTGTGTATAGCATTGGGTACCAAACTCTGTACTTTTAAGTGTCCTGTCCAAACGATGTCAGTACAACCCAATACCGAATCTTTGGTGGCAAATCTGGGTGAGAGTGTAAGTTATGGAGATAAAGAGAGAAAGCGAGACTATGTCATCCATGCAGTTTGATCAAGTCACTGTGAGTCAGGACAACGGCGAGCCGCAAGTGGTCACAGGTGTGGTTACACATCTCAAAACTCCACACAGACAACACTCGCTGCAATATTTGTGGTGGCTTAAGGGAACGACGTTGATCCGTACACAATGGATCCCCCTCTCCACAATTGTGCACGCATGTCACTGGGAGACTTAGAATAACTAGTGCTTTTCAGCCCTAATCCGCTTGTATCAACAGTATTATAAACTCATGTTCAGTGTTTTGTCATTATCAGCAATCAAAAGTCATAGATTAATTATTTTAAATGAACTTCCTGGACGGTGTTTATGTGGGTGTGTTGCTACAGGTACAGGTGAGAAGATGATTCTCACCTGTACCTGTAGCAACACATCCACATAAACGAAGTCCCTTGATGTGCTCAAAATGTAAGTGTGTAATTTACCATCAAACCAGGAGCCATGAAGTGCCTTGAAGGCTTTCCCTGAGTGCTCTGCAGAGAGACACTTCACATAGACACAGCCCTGTGGAAAGAGCACGAAGCATAATGTAACATCACTGCAGATAACAGCATGGAGGTGTGACATCAAAGTGTGCTCATCATTCGTTCGACGGAGCATACCTCTCGTGAGTTCTTGTCAACAGCGATGTGGACAATGCCATCGTTGTCATTGCACTTCTCCAGGATGGCTTCATGAATGGCTAGATCCCAGTTCTCCCCAACCTCCCTGGAAACACAAATAAGTTACAATTAGAAAGTTCAATCGGGGGGAAAGACTAAACTGGATTTCCTCTGACAGTGCATCCAACAAGCAGTCGAGAGAGGTACTCACATGACTGGGTCAAACATGTTTCTGATCTTCAGACATGGAGTCAGGCTGTTGGGGGGTGAATTCCTCCGGTCTAAAGGGAAAGCTGAAGAGGAGATACAAATGCTCAATGAACTGGTGATTATGTCAGAACACACACGTTTCAGGGAGTATGTTTTCTTGGTTCTGACCAATGTTGAACAAGTTAACTTTGCTTTGTTTCCGTTCACACTGCAAGGCCACCAAAAACCAGGGACTGTCCACTACAAGGTACGTGGACCTAAACTGATGAGAAACTGTGTGATGAGTGTAATGTTTCCTCCTTTGTATGCAGATAATATCCAAATCATATCCAGAAGACCCAATACTGAAAAAGATATTACGTGCTTATTCATCAGAGCGAGAGTCAGGTACATAGTCTAGATTATATATCAGGGTTTCATGATAGAAAAAACCTACTCCACAGACTGACATTAAGAGAGGGATGAGAAGGAAGGTTCATTTTAAATTCCAAGGGGAATGTACAGTTGTGTGGGTTTCAGGAAATGCACCAACTCGCATACATGGAGATGAATTTGCATGGAAATGTTTAATCAGATTCTTTTTAACCCTAATACAGAAAGCTCGATTGCAGGAGAGGATCGCACAGTGCTGAGATGTTGGGAGCCAGTGAAAAACACTGGCATATAATTTAGAATGTCCATAATTGTACATTTCGCCAAA